TATAAGGAGCTTGTTTATTTAAGTAACAATAGTCAAACATTAATATTTAACAAATGTAACGCAATTTTAAAGATTTTTAAGCGATTATCTAACAATTTTCGGGTGAAAATGACGTTATTAATTAATTTAATTAATATCATCGAATTCTACGTAAAATTCTCTATATAATTGATATATCACATGTTGACATTTTATATAAAAATTTTCCCGATTAAAGTGGTGACTGCGGCCGAACCATAGGTCACAGGACAATATAAATTACATAATCGGACTCAGCATTAAATGAACTTTCATATACAACCAAAAAATCCCGATTGCCAGCTTAGCCAGATCCTGACAGTCTTCTTTGTAGTCAGAGAAATGTGTTTCACTCAATGATTAAACACTAAAACCTTTGTTTCATTTCAATACCAATTTTCGTGTCATATGTTTTGCTCGAGTTTTCAATGAATGACTAGTTTTGTGACCATTTGGTGTCTATTTAATTGTCAGTTCATTACAAACAAGAGATTCATTGGATCACAAGAATGGCTCAGAAGAAGACAAAGACTGAGAGGAATGTGACCACAGATGAGGTGAAAGTGAATGGACAACAGGTAGCCATACATTCAAACATTCACTCAATTAGTGATTAAACACTAAAACTTTTCTTTCATTTCAATACCAATTATAGCCACAAATGTATGCAAAACGCTCTTTCGACCGATTCGGTGATGATTTGTGTCAACACCTGTTGTCTTATTTGCCATTTAATGACCGCTTCCGATACGAGTGTCTCTCTAAACAATGGCAACGAGTCATATATGAGACCATCGATGAGATTACTATTAATAGCCGTTTATTGGACAAAATGCGGACAACTTTAGGCTTAAATCGCAATTTGTGACAAATTCTGCGAAAGTGTGCAAACATTAAGACCATTACATCGATATTTCTGCCCGACATTGATGCTCGACAAGTGTGTCAAGCCATCTATGAATTGCGAGACAATTGTGTGAATGTGCAACAAATTCACCTCAATTTGGGTCAAATTGACCGCAGTTTCAAACAAGCTTTCCTTCAAACGTTTGGTTCAAAGATTACGTCAATTAATCGCATGTTTAAAGACGAGACGCCTTTCAGTGAATATCTCACTCTTTGCCACAATTTGTCTTATTTATTGGGTTGGTTTAGATTTGCTTCAGTCTTTCATCAGACGGCTAACCATTCATTGGTTAAGAATTTAATCAAATTTAGTCTCTGTTTCGACCACACGTTCACTCCACAAATGTTTAGCAGTTTTGTGGCAAACAATAAATCACTCAAAAGTCTCATAATCAATGGCAACTCTGGTGTCAAAGAAAATGCAAATCTCTTGAAAAGTTTGTCGCAATTACGCCAACTCCGAGAGTTGGCACTCTTTTTTCATTGCGATTCCCAACCGTTTGAGTACTCATTGTCTGAACATTTGCGCCAAATTGGCTTCAAGTGTGACAAACTCAAGGAATTTAGTATTCAATTGACATCACAAACACCACAACCGCATGTCCAGATTCTCAATGCAATCCCATTTATGGGACGATTAAAACGTTTGGATTTATCTCTTTATCCACCCGATGAAGACGACGATGAATACGATGAGGAGATTGATTGGCATTTGCCGACCGATTCACTCAAACATTGGCCCAAATTAACACACCTTTCACTGGATTTATCACACACTGATCACACACTGTATCGGGAGATCGGCGCAAATCTATTGCATTTGCAAAAATTGAAAATCCGTTCAAAAAAAGGAGTGATAAATGGCTTTTGTTTGGATCTGATCGCAAAACTACCAAAACTGCAATCACTGGTCATTGAAAGCAATGTAGACATCGAATCTATGAACGAATCGATGGTAGACTATATACTGAAAAGTAGCCATAAATTGAAATTCATCCAAATCCATGACATGGAAAATAAGGAAAGAAACTTTGATTTGAAAGATAAATACATTTATCTAATACGAAATGATTTGATTGATGATTGAAACGATTAAATGAATGTAAGCTTAAATTAAATGAACTCGCAAATCAATAATCATAAAATCAATTGCGGTATATTTGTAATACAGTACCGTAAACATTTTATACAAACGATTTTGTTATATAATTACGTAATAATGAGCAAAAGTGTTTTATAACAAATAAATATATTTAAATATAATTCTTGTATTTATTACTTCTTATAATAAATTAAAATATGTAAATAGAAATCACATTTTATAATGTATATGGAATTAATATATTTAAAAATATAATTAATATACGGTAGAAAAATTTTTTAAATATGCCAAAATATACTAGAAAAATATGAATTTAAAAAATATTATTTGTTCACTTAAATTATTACCGCAATTAAATTATCAAAACTAAACGTTAGACTAGTTATGCGTTGTCATAAGCACCGGGCGACTGAAGGGCGCGATTATGAGTAACAGGTTTATTGGTAACGGTTATTATCACTAAAAACAAAAAAGTGCTAATTATTAGGTAAACAATTTCCAGTTCAATGAACACATAGGGGTAGTTCTCGATGACTGGACCCAAAATAAACGGTGTAATCGCCGATACAGTGCCGTTGGAAAACACCATAACTGTGCTCACGGTGTCCGTCAGCTTACAGTGCTTTGCGGTCAACGCTATAATCGCTGAATACATCGCCGAAAATCCAAACCCTATACACAACACAAACATTACATTCAATGAAAATATTGTTTAAAATATTATTTTTAGCGAAAGTATACCTAAAATAATATTTCCAATCCATATGAGCGCCAGTATGTGTGAGCCGTAGTAGAGAACAGCCATTCCGGCGATTATAATCAGTAATCTTGGACGTTAAATTATTAATGGCCGCAACGAGTGCCAGATATAGCGATTGCGGGGGAAGGGCTGTCGGTTTGGGGATGTCTTTGAACGAGCAACTGGTGGCGGCTTTGGTCACCTTATCCTCGAGAGTGCTTATAATATCGTTGAACACAGCAAAATAAGCCCGCACAAATCCCCTGGCATCGCGCTTTTCCGAATGCATATCAATTGTGTCCTCTTTATATAACTTCAATAAACTTTAAGAAAAAACAATATCCTATTAGTTGTGAAATTCATTTTATAGCTTATAATTTAGTTACTGATAAATATCATTAAGAATGGACTAAATGCACACCAAAGAAGTCTAGCCATAGTCATGGATGTGGACGTCTTGTTGGCCTCCATAAGCGCGTCCATCATATTCTCCCTATATTTGGCCGATTTCTCCACTTTTTCGTTGTACTCCTTCCAGGCGTCACATTTGCCGCTAATAATAGGCCCGCAAAACGTTTCATACAACGCCTTATTAGCCTGTGTTTGAAATATTTTGCCCAAAACGGCGTTCCCCGAGAACTTCAACTCAAAGTATTCGCGAATTTTGTTCAACTTTTCCGGACTTTGTATACAAAGAAAATATAAATTTAATTAATTTATATAATAATAATTCGTATCATTTAAAGACTTCTCTATTAAACACATACTTGCCTTCGCCGGAAATCTGTTCGCATTTCATTTGAAAGAGTTTATCCTTAGGGCTGATCAGTCGGTTCACGTCGCCCAACACGAAAGCCCAGGCCAGGGATGTGTCCACATCGTCCTCCAAAGGCAACACGATTTTGTTGCACTCCATGCTCGGGACACCTGTTCACACATTTTCGGTCAATTAATTACTGATTGATTACAATCAAGTGATTACAATGAATATCGAAAAACTCGTAAATCATTATTATATTTACATAATAAGCATAGAGTTACGGATGTTGTAACAAATATATAATTAATTAATTGCATTGTCTTATGTATAAATATGAATTTTGCGTAAATACCAAAAATGAAATAAAATCAAAATGAATTCTAATTAAATAAATGAGCAGATTTTTAATTTATCGTCATGCTAAATATTAGAAAACTAATTACAAATTTCTCAAATACCACTTCAGTCTAAATATAAAACAGTATTCAATTAAACATCAAACATATTACTACAATATGAAGTGAAATATTATATGTAAGTAGTTTACTATAAATCTTACTACAATCATTTAGTTCATAAATAATACAATTAACATTTAAGCTAATCTAGTCTATAATTATGTTAATTTGGTCTATAATTTAGTTAGTTTATGATATAGTTGATTTAGTTGATGATTAAATAATATAATTAACATTTAAGTTAATTCACTTAAGAATCTGATCAATTTACAAATAGTTTAGTTTAGTTTAGACTCAATATAATGCCAACACTGTACCTGATCACCTAGTACATTGAATTGCTTATCAGTAATGTTTGTTTAGTGCCTGGATACGGATTGGCATAAGCAGTGATGTTAAGCTCAAAGAACACTGTCATAATACAATACAGAATTGGCTAACTGGCAATCGGCATTTTTTGATTGTATGTCAACGTCCATTCAATGTTGAGTCAGAATGTCATTTATATTGTCCTGTCACCTCTGGTTCGGCCGCAGTCACCACATTTATCGGCAAATATTTTATATAAAATGTCAACATGTGATATATCAATTTTATAGAGAATTTTACGTAGAATACGATGATATTAATTAAATTAATAAATAACGTCATTTTAACCCAACAATTGTTAAAAATCGCTTAAAAATCTTTATAATAACGTTATATTTGTTAAATTTTAATGTTTCATAATTGTTACTTATATATTCGAGTTCCTTATAAAATTCTTCACAAAATTGACATATCACATGTTTATATTTATTATGATAAAATAAACAGATAAAAGTGATCACTCCGGCCGAACCGGAAATCCCAGAACAAACTAAATGATATTTTATGACTTCTTATAAAGAGTACTTTTATATTAAATTGTAGAACCCAAATTGCCAGCTTAGCATATATTACCTTATTTTACCTCAATGATCACTTTTATCAGTTTATTTTATAATAATAAATATAAACATGTGATATATCAATTTTGTGGAGAATTTTATAAGGAGCTTGTTTATTTAAGTAACAATAGTCAAACATTAATATTTAA